GTACAAAATTGTCTGTTTCTGTCTGCAATACATATAATGGAGAGAGAGAGAGAGAGAGAGGGTGGGGAATTTGCATGTGCATGTGGGAATAATGAGTGCAACATGTCAGTCCATGCATGTGATGTGAGTCATTAGGGTAAAGAAATGAACTCCCTCCAGTACTATATATATATCTAGGGTTTTGATTAAGCTTTAACTTATAAATAGCAGAAAAAATACACAAAGAAACTCCATTCTAACTTCTAACTATGATCTAGTTAGTTTCCACTCCATATATTTTTTGGTAATATTTGTGACTGAAGTAAGCCAATTAACCCAGTACTCAACTGAAGCAATGATGGATGGGCTACTAATAACATTGCAGAAAATACAAAATGAGAAAATTTTACTGGGTTGGGTTGGGTTGGGTTGGGTTGCTGACAGATCCAAATAATTGCTTCTGGGAAAGAAGAGAAGAGGGGTGGGAAGAGTGCATGGCGTATGGGCCGGAGCTTAAACTTGTCAGGTGATTGAGCACATCAAAGACTTATTCTTCTTCTTCTTCTATTCTCGCCTATATATCTGCACTTTTCTTTTTCGTGCTCCTTATAAAATAATGATATGCATTTGTTTCCGAGTGCATGCATTTGTACTTTTGTTCCCCAGTTGTGTAGTGTTGAAGAAGTGCGTCTCTCTATTTGGTCAATGGTAGTCAAAGCAGCAGACCCCCACGCTACCACGCCTTCCCTTCCCACAGACGACAGAGTCGCACCATTTTCCCACTTTCTAACACCTCAGCTTCCTGCATGCTCCTGCCTGCGCCCACAAGATTCATAGAATATATTTGTGTGCAATACAAATCACGTATGGAGTGCTAGCTAGTGGGGGGATATTGACTAATATTGATTGTAGCTGTTGGGAATCCAAGACAAAAAGGTACACTACGTGTTTGTGATGGTAAATTAAGTGGCTAATGAGAATTGTATAGCTTTTATCAGTCTGAGTTGTATAATAACCCTAATACTACGACTCTGATAAGGAATATTATACTGTCCAATTACATAACAGTACTCGTAGTATAACATGATACTACTCGTACTACTCTATCGAATAAAAACCGGTTATTCTTGATTTACTGCTTGATAGTAGCTACTAGCTACATAGATAAGATAACCCTCTTCCTTTCTTCAATCTAGATTGGGACAAATGTTGTTCCGCGGTAATTAAATGTTACTATTGGCTAGGTTGGTAGGTAGGTGATACATCAATCATGAGGGGCAGAAGGGGGCAAGGCAGATATACATACGGTCGAATCAGCAGCAGTCCTAGTACTCTTCCTCCCTCTCTGGTTTTGGAGGGAATGACAGACAGGTTAGGTTAGTTGATAGCTAGCTTCATGAATATAACAAGCAAAAATCCATGGCAGCGGATCGAGGATGGATTGGATGGAGTGGGACTAGCTAGTAGTAGTAGTAGTACTACTACTCCGATCCATCCGTTCTTAGGGTATTATGATTGGTAGGGTGGCTGACAAACGTGCCCATGAAGTTGGACTAGTTGGTGCTACTACTCCATCCCATTTTTTCTTCTACCTCATCATTTCACATTGCACCATCTTATCTATGTACCTCAAACCACTGTAAAAAAAGTAGGCTATAGCAAGTGAGGGTAGTAGTGGTAGATGACTGTGATTAGGTTATAACCGCAGATTCATTTACCTCTCTCTTGGTCATGAGGTGCAAGCTCTTTACATCACGTGGTGCATACTGAACGTACAAGCTTCAAAAGTAATTAACATTGGAACGCATTTATGTCTAAGCACAAAGTTATGTTCATCTCTTTGCAAGTTTTTACATCTTGGATTGGAAATTGGAATGGACAGATAACTTGTTATAGTCTTTAGTTGAAGAGGGCATTGGAGAAGGTACGCACAGTAGCATTCAACAAGAGCTCACCATCGCGTGGCGGGAGTTCAAACTTGGACAACTCAGTTATATCACGATAAAATCGCGCGGTTATCAAAATAACAAATCGTAAGAATCAAATATAAAATTATCTCATCATATTTTCAAATCAATTGACAAAATAATAAATCATTAGAATTCTAATACAACATCATCTCATTCGATGAAAATATATCTAGCATAGAAGGAGAAGTATCCAACAATTCCTGTCGAAATATGAAACTTGCTTGTAGCATTTTCGAACATATTCAGGGTTCAATTGTACTTGATTAATAATGAGATGAAATGGGTAAATAGTGTAGTCAGTGACATGGGGAGTTGTGGGTGGTGGGTGTGTGTACGTATATTTGAATTCACGTTTCCTTTTTTTTCTTTCTCTGTAATGGCAGAGCTCATCATTCTGGTATGCAAGTCGAAAAGGGGGCCAACTTTCTGTGCACCCAACCAGTTGCCCTTTTCTTTTCAGGGCCTTTTCTCACCCACTTTCCCTTCCGCAGTTTTGCTTTTGCATGTCCCTCTCCTTCTCCTCAGCAATTCCAAAACCCTTTTCCACACGATCATGGGCTAGCTCTTCCTCTCTTCTCTAACCATCTCAACCGCTGAATTTGTGCATGTCAACACATCTTCCAGTTAAATTTTAGTAGGTTGTAGTTAATAGCGGTAATGTTCAAAGGAGTTTTATGTATTTATTTATTTTTAATTTGTTCCATGTTGTATTTATATTGGTTGTATACACCAAGATTGTCAACCCGATATATCCCGTTGGCCGGTCAAGAAAGTGGGTTTAGAATTAATGGTCCGATCACTTTAATCCGATTTAGTCCGAATATATGGAAAAAAAATTCTTATATTTTTCATACATTTATAAATTATATCAAATCTCATCTATCATATGAGTAATTACATATAACATTACACCAAAATCACATATCGTACTTGGATCCAAAATATAGTGAAAATTCACACACACTTATATAACATCAATATTCAAATGTTGAACCTAGAATTTCAAAAATGGAGTTAGGCGAAGAGAATAACAAAAAAAAGAGACGCATTTCGCAAAGCAAAGAATAAAACGATGGTGTGACCTCCAACTTGATAACCTTGCAACGAATCCACCTGTTGGTGCATGCGATCCGTTTTTCTCAATGGATCAGGGTGAAAATGGGTCAACAAACAAGTTGACCCGCAAGTTGACAGCCTTGTTGTACACCTTCCATATCTTCATTTTCACTTTATTTGTAACTTATCATACAACCTAACACATTTATGTAAAGTATATATATAAGGGAGCAGCTAATTGTATTCGGTGTAATCACATTTATGGGTTCATTCAATGCACTTGCCTCATAATCCTCACTATGAGCAAGCGGTTCATGTCAAAACAATATCAATCCTTATTTGTGATATGATGGACAAGAAAGTACATGAATTAGCACAAAAATCATGCAAGATTTACTTTCATTTGAAGGATTTAAGGTCGTTTGCTTGATGGATTTGGGTCATGGATTTGAGACTCAAATCTCAAGCATGATGGATTTTAGCCAAGTCCATTGTTTGTTGTTAGGTGTTAAATCCGTGGGGTCCACGAATTTGTTCCCTTTTTTGGATCCAAATCCGTGGACCCCACGGACTTGTAAATCCCACATATTGGGGTGGGATTTGTAAATCCTTGATGGCTAGTTATATTTATAGCAAATCCATCATAATTATATCATCAAATCTATCATGCAAACAATAGACTCTTCAAATCCATGATGGTACAAATCCCTCATAAATCCAAAGGTGTTTTTGAGCCAAAACCCTCATTTTTCAAATTCAACAAGCAAACGACCCCTAAGGTTAGGGTGTAGGATTTATAATTTGGAATTTACGGTTAGAGTTCAAAATTAAAGGTTTAGGATAATGCATTGGTTAGTTGTGACCTTATGCTACAATTACAACCCAAAATTTGATGTCTTCATACTACTTTTAGAGTTGGGTGAATACACCGAAGAAGCCACATGATTTTATCTTTGGTTGACTCACGTTTATGATTTATCCCATAAAGATTAGTGAAATTTATGCCACTTTTCCACAATTTCTATTTTCTATCAGTAGTTAGTTTCAATAATTACGATTTATTGAAAAAGATTTAGTAATAAATGTTATCTATCTTTATGATATTACTTGAAATGAAAGTTATTAACATATGAATTTGAAGTTTCATTAACTATTTTATTTACATAAATCATCAACTGTTAATATTGATGGTGGTCGCAATTCGAACATGAAATCTCTCGATCAACATATAAATGGTTGATACAATATAAAGAATTAGTTGGTATCAATCGTTCGAGTTCTTAGAGAGGCTCGATAATGTATTGTATACTATTAACCAACCACTAATTCCTAAAAACCAAATGTATTGTACATTAGCATCCAAGGGAATGGTATAATAACAAAATTTTGGTCTTTCACCCAACAACTTCGGTTATTTTAACCAACTAATTCATCCCAAGCTATTAGAGTTTTCGATTGAATAGGCTTTATTTCTCAATCCTCACGAGTCATAACCCTCAATCTTCAAACTCGCGATCGACTTTCGTTGGAGGAACGTTGAAACTCTATAATCGCAGACAAGGCAAAAGAAACATAAGTTTTTTCTTCTTCATCGGTACATCAAGTTCTTATTTGTAAGTCTTTTATGATTGTTTAGTTACCTCAATTCAATTACACTAGTCTAGTATAATAACTTATAGGTTAATACCTTGTTATGGCCTAAACTATGACCATGTAATCAACTTTAGCTAGTGGTTTGAGAAATTAACATCCTGGCCCGAACTATGCAGCATATAGACAAAATTGGCCTGAAGCGTGGTTTGACCGTTTGTTTGAACGGTCAACACCTTTGACCGTTAGTCAACTGTCCAGGTCATTGCCATGTCAGCATAAAAAAATTATTATTTTATTTTTCTATTTATTTCATTTACAAAATTGAATAATAAAAAAAAACAAAAACAAAAACTTTTGGCCCACCCATCTCCACCTTATCCCCTCACCTTCTTTCCTTTTCGATCAAACCCAAACAAACCCTATCTTCCATCTTCTTCCTCCTTCTTCCCCAACCTTGAACCATCGATTCTCCATAATCTCCGGAATCGAAATTCGCCTCTTCGTGTCCACCACCAGAAGCCTGGAAATCAAATCCCTAGCGTCTTTCGAAATCCAATTGGGGATCTTGTAATCGGCCTTGAAAATCTTCACATACACCTTCATCAAATTCTCGTGGAGGAAGGGCAAATAGCCGGAGAGCAAGACGAAGAGGATTACCCCACAGGACCAAATATCGGCTTTCGCCCCGTCGTACCCTTTCTTCCAGAGAACCTCCGGCGCCACGTAGGCAGGGATCCCACACTGGGTATGGAGCAACCCGTCGTTCCAGCGCTGACCCGGGAGCGCGGAGAGTCCGAAATCGGAGATCTTGAGGTTCCCGTTCTCGTCCAGCAACAGATTCTCCGGCTTCAAATCCCGATGGGAGACTCCCCGGCTGTGGCAATAGTCGGTTGCGCTGATCAATTGCTGGAAGTAGCGGCGGGCGAGGTCCTCGTCGAGTTTCCCCTTTTCGACCTTGGCGAACAACTCGCCGCCCCTGACGTACTCCATGACGAAGAAGATTTTGGACTTGGTGGCCATCGCTTCATCGTTGGGGAAGAAGGAGGAAGAAGAAGGAAGATAGGGTTTGTTTGGGTTTGATCGAAAAGGAAAGAAGGTGAGGGGATAAGGTGGGGATGGGTGGGCCAAAAGTTTTTGTTTTTGTTTTAATTATTCAATTTTGTAAATGAAATAAAAAGAAAAATGAAATTATAATTTTTTTATGCTGACATGGCAGTGACCTGGACAGTTGACTAACGGTCAAAGGTGTTGACCGTCCAAACAAACGGTCAAACCACGCTCCAGGCCAATTTTGTCTATATGCTGCATAGTTCGGGCCAGGATGTTAATTTCTCAAACCACTGGCCAAAGTTGATTACATGGTCATAGTTCAGACCATAACAAGGTATTAACCCTAACTTATAATCCAATATAATAACTTCAATGACACTTTAAATAAAAACGATAAATATTCTAAATCTTCTTCCAATTGGGTACCCCTAATCACCTATATATTTATGAACAAATAGCAGATGCACAGGCACGCCGGCCATTGCTGAGAGTTCAGAAACCCACTCTGCTCATGAGAATGGAAAGAAGAAAAAGGAAATGGGGTTCAGAAATCCTAAAACCAATACAATAACATATGGAAGGGTTACACTCTGTTCATAAAGGGCAGAAAAGGGGGGAAAGGAAAGTTAACGAGGGAAAGTTGGAATATCGATACACTTTCCCCCGTTTCCGAAATTTCGCAGTGTCAAAGGGGAGGGAAAATGGAGGACTGGTCACTGTTCAACTCAACCCTCCAAATTGGAGAAAAAAGGAGCGAAACCATTTTGGACATAGTTTAATTGATTCTTTATTGGGCTCTCCTCTGTCCTCTTTCCTCTCCATCTCGTCTTCTTTATCCCGCCACAAGGAAGAACAACTGAACCAAGAAAAAGAAAACAGAGCACTTTTGCTTGATCTTTGCCATTCTGTCCTTCCATCGGCCAAAAAATCAATCTCCCAAAATAGATTGATGCGCTAACCTTCATCTTCTTTGATCTACTTCCCAATGCTCCACCTAACCAGGACCATAAAACACGAACAAAAGCTCAATTAAAAACAACAAAAAGTCAAAAACACACCCAAAAAGAAAATGAATGTCACGATCTGACCTGGATTGAGACTCTTCCGATTTCTATCATGTAGGCGACGAGGACAGCGGCGGGCCTTCTCCTGTCTTCTTCCCGTCCGAAACCTCACCTAATACAGAGCTTCCCTCTGTTTTTCAGAAAATAATACGTGTAGAGGAGAGGGACACACGATCTAGGAGAAGAGGGGAAACTTGATTTCAGATTTCTTTTTCCTGGAGATGTTAATTGAAAAAGAAGAATGATGAGAAGAGGGTGGGTTTAGATCGATTTTTTAGGGGACAAAGAAGATGTGAGCATTTTGAAGAGAGGTAAAAGACGAGAGAAGGGAGAGAGAAGAGTAGTGGGTTTGGGTTTTTATTTTCTTTCCTTATGGTTAAATGGTTTTGATTAATTAAAATATTAGATTAATACTTAAAGTAGGGTTTTTATTAATTTGGTGTTTAGTGATTTGAGTGTAACTTAGGTTGACTAATTTTTAATTGATTCAAATGGGTAAATTTCAAATGATCTATTTTCATACGTCTTAAAAATGTATCTTACCGACAATTCGACTGGAAAAATCTCCTATTGTAGTCTAAACCAATAGGTGGTTTAAATAATATAAAACAAATAAGCTTTGGTTACGATTTCGGCACAAAAATATCCTACCAAACAAGATAGATGATTTACCTCATACGTAACATTGTTTTGCACGATACATAACACTGTTGTATGATATATAAAAACTTGTTACGCTCCTCTTACAATTTATGTATCTGTAATTTGTTGTATGTTTATATATTTAGTTGCTATGTTATTACTCAATAAAATAGTTAACAAAATTTTAGTGTAAACAAATTTGATCCACATTACATAATTAATGTAAATAGTATAAATACATAATTAAATTATTTAACTATTCTATCATCAATAAAATATAATACATATCACAATTCCCAATCTACTTTTTCCCTCCTACTTTCCCTTCCACTTTCCTCCATTAAACAACATTTTCTTTCCAATTCCCTCTAATTTCCCTCCCTTCCAAACTTAACCTCCCCTCCAAATTTTCCTACCCTCCCCTCCTTTTCCTCCCTTACTTCATGAACATAGTGTTAGGGAAAGGGTACTAATCTAGGGCATTGTATATCCTCCTGTCTTGCGGGCCCTCTTTCTTTTGCATGGTCACCGTTCCCTAAATATTCCTATCCCTAATCTGAAAGTTAATCAGTAGAATGAAGTTGTTATTAAAAAATTGATTATCTGGGTCCGCGTTAATGGCTTAATATTCAATTTGCATTCACTGTTCCCAACTTCCCGCGCCATCATTATCATTCATTCGTTTTCCTATTCAGCAAAGGAAAACACACCCGCCTGGAATTCTGATAAGACTTTGCTTTCTTCACACATCCTGCTGCTGCTGCTCGAGCTACTTTCTTCAAGGTTATGATTGCTTTTCTCCCACCCCTCCCCCACTGCGCTTTTTTATCATAAAAAATAATAATTATTAAGATTAATACTATCGAAAAGGGTACTTGCAATTACACTCCATTTGACTTGTGGAGATTCACATATATGATCATCATCATGACGGACCCTTTACCTCTGGCCTTTAATTGCCCTTTATAGTGCAGTTTGGTATCCGTGTATTCTGTCTATCAAATTTTAAATACATATTATAGCACTTACATTTTATTTTATTTTATTTCATTTTAGTATGAAAATAAAGTATTGTCATGGTACAAGGTAATGGTATCACGTATTTCACAAATCTCCAAGTTCGCCCCAAAAAAAAATCTAATAATACATGTGAACATTTCACATTTTATTCTGTATTTTCATGTTTAATTACAGTTTGGGTTGATTTTGTGTGGAGTTGGCCTTCTTCACCTAACAAACTTCATCTGGCGAGGCGTTATAATTGCTAGCCAAGTGTAGTGAAAGTCAAAGGATTCGTCTAACCCAACTTTAGACGAGCCATCATCCTTTTTACCACGTAACAACATGCTTTTTTATTTGCATTAGAGGATGTAGCACTGTAGCAGAGAAGAATTAATGGCTTTGTAAACTCCATTTAGTACCTGTAAAAGATACATTCGTCATGATTTACGAAATAAAGCGGAATATATCTTCCACATACATTCTTGTACGATACAAGACATCAATATATTTTAGGGAAGTGAACTAATTATGACAATTGCAATTACTGCTTTTTTCTAAAGATATTTATTTTTTTGACGGGTACTTTTTTAAAGATATAATTAAGAGATGATTGTGCATTTGAGTGGGACAAAAGAGCAGAAATTGTGGGGGAGTAATTAAAATAAAAAGAAAATGTGGCAATAACAAAAAGGACATAAAAAATAAATAAAAAGATAAGAATATGCATGCTAGCTTAACTTTAATCATTAGCCACGATCAGAATAGTATATGCTTTTTATGCCCCCCTTGTATTCTTAATCTTCTTGGCCATCATTTAGGGTTTCCACTACTTCCTCCTCTTATTCTGATGTTACGGCAACTAGCGATCAGTCAGTTTATAAAAATAGACTCGTCGATGGTGGAAATTGATTGGTATTTGCATAATTAAACAAATCTGGGGAGATCTGGAGATGGCATGCATTTTCCAAAGGGCAGCCCAATGTTGGCAGGGAATTGAAATTGTGACCAATGGAATATCGAGCTGCTGATTGCAACATTTGACCAAGGAGTTGTCCATCCATCAACAAGTTTGATCGAGATACCGGAAACTATAGAAATCAGTCATCTCAATTAGTATGATATTGTCCGCTTTAAATCAAACCAGGTTTTACTCTTGGATGTCCTCCCCAAAAGGCCTCGTACTAATTGGGTTAGGTGGACACTAATATACAAGGATCCATTCACTTGTATTACCGATGTGGTACTTGGATTATGCCATAACAATCCTCCCCTCAAGACAAGGACCACGAACTTCGTGTACTCTCCTCATCGATTATCTCGATCCGCTGAACACCTTATATCGATGTGCTTCTCGGTAGAAGGATTTTCCCAGACGCGGAACTCTCTTTGATCCGCCAAACAAACATGGATCCCTCGTGGATCCACCAAACCATACGCATATTTCAAATCCTGAGGTCCACCAAATGAGGGTCCCACCAAACTAACGTCAACCACCCCGAACCGGAACCAGAATCTTATACCACTTGTCAAACCGGGCCGCTCATTAATACGATATTATCCGCTTTGGGCAAAGCCCGCACGGTTTTACTCTTGGATGCCCTCCCCAAAATGCCTTTTACTAATTGAGCTAGATGGACACTAATATACAATGGTTCCTTTCCTTGTATTTTCGATGTGGTACTGGGATTGTCCCATAACAATCCTCCCCACAAGCCAAGGACCCCGAACTTCGTGTCATCTCCTCAGTGATTATCTTGAGCCGCCGAACACCTTGTATCGATGGGCTTCTCGATACAAGGATTTTCCCAGATGCGGAACTCTCTTTGATCCTCCAAACAAACATAGATGTCTTGTAGATCCACAAAACCAGACGCAGATCCCAAATCCCGAGGTCCACCGAATGAGGGTCCTACCAAATTGACGTCTACCATCCCGAACTGAACAAGGCTCTGATACCAATTTTCAATCCGGGTCGCTCATTAGTACGATATTGTCCGCTTTGGGCCAAGCCCGCACGGTTTTACTCTTGGTTGTCCTCCCCAAAAGGTCTCGTACTAATTGGGCTAGATGGACACTAATATACAAGGGTTTCTTCCCTTGTATTTTTGATGTGGTACTTGGATTTTCTCATAACAAAAACCAAAGTATGTACATGCACTAGCAACCTTCTTTATATCAGTTTCTCAGCTCAAGATTTCGTTTTATGTCATTCATAAAAAGCAATTGACTTCACCATGTCACCGTGGATAAGCCACGTTTAGA